TGTGCTATTAAGAGTCCTTGTGTGAATTTTTAAAAGAAAACCAAAATAGGTTTGTCCTCTGGGTTTGGGAGGTACCATTTCTAATTCTAGAAAGAAGCGAGGCAACCTCTAAGCAATGTTCTTCAAGATTCTGCCATATCACATGTCTTCATTTAAAAGTAATTATTTGATAAGGCATCTTTCACTCCTTCCATATCAGATGCCCCCAGTTTGGTAGGGGGTTCAGGAAGGGAAAATGTATAAACTTGTCAAAAAGTTCACAATAAAGTACAGGCAAGTGGAACTAATTCTTGTAACACAGGTGAAAATAGTACACATTGGATAACTGTGGGATGCTAGGGAACAGCGTGGAAGAGCATTTTCAACAAAATGGATATACTTGAAGACAGAACCCTCTTGAGGCAGAGCCAGAGAGAGATCACAGCCAAGGAAACAGGGTTCTTGAGAGGAATGAGGAAGTAACCAAAGAGAGTACTGTTGGTCAAGTGCTGGGGCAGATTGTTGCGGTTAAGGGGATGCAAATAATTACTCCCCATTTTGGAGAAGGTCTCCTCCTACTCACAGTGAGGAACTCAGACTCCTGTTTACTGGTACTGGAATCAGAAGCACCCTCTCCCCCCAGTAGCAAGGGAGGAACTCAGTCAGCCAAGACCAACCAGATGGCTAATATCTGAGATTGTGAAGGTTAAGGATGACCAAATATTCTGTAACAGAAAACCTGAACAGTTAGAGGAAGTGGCGGTGTTGGTGGCAATCTAACCAGGTATCTTAGGTATCTGACTGCACTACCTAATACATCCCGAAAGCCTGGGTTGCCAGCCTGTTAGCCAGCAGGTGCTGTGGATGTGATCTCAAAGGTTACCCACAAGCTTACATCTAAAGGCCCCCAATGGCACAATTGAAAGATGGTGGGGCTTTTCCTGGGGTGGGAGGGTGCCAAGGTGACACCCTAGCCTGTCCTCGTTCTCTCTGGTTTTCTGTACACCTCATTATTGGTTTTCCTTCCTCATGATAAACTGTCATCAGCACAAACCCAAGGCAAGAGGCCTATCAGTCATGCCCTGAAACCACTAAAACTGCAAGTCAGATAAACCCTTCAACCATCGAGGTCCATACGTGAAATCTCAGCACCCACGAACCTAGGGCAAGAGGATAGTGTGCCCCCATGGGTACACATAGGGAATTTAAAGCCTAGCCTAGGCTATAAAGTAAAAGTCTATTTCAAAAAAACAAAAAAACAAAAAAAAAAAAGTCTCCATAGAAGTTAATTAGCTCAGATATTTTTGTTACAGTGACAGACAACTGTCTGACATAGTGAATGTATGAATTATTCTAATTTTCCAACAATTGTTTTTTCTTTTTACAGTAACAGAAACTATGTTCCACTTTTTGCCACTGGAATTCTAGGGATGGTGGTGATTCTTATAACAATCGGAGTACAAACGCTCAGCTCCAATGTATTCCAGGGGTAATGAGGAAGGGAAAATGAGAGCCCTTCCTTGGTGAGCACTTGGAAGCAGAGGATAAAGGAAGGGCAGAGCTGATGAGAGCATGCAAGCTTATAGTTTGGAACCCAAAAGAGGGGCGTGGTCTTCAGTAGAAACCTTAAATGGATATCAGATCTGTGCTGGCAGAAGGGGTGTTTATCTGTAATCCCAGCACTGGGAGGCTGAGGTAGGAGCAGCACTGTGAGCTCAAGGTTTGCCCGGACTACATAGCCAGGTGGTGTCTTGAAAATGAAAGCAATAACAAAGTGTTTTTAAAGAAAGGGTTACTTTAAAGGGTGAGTAAGTAATGCCTAAAACTGGACAAAGTGATGGGAATAAAAAGTCATCCATTTATTCTATGGTATTTAACAAGCACCTCTCTCCGCAGGTTCTGGAGAGAGAGGTGGAGAACAAGACATCTTTGTGTAGGAACTTGTAGTCAGGAAGAGAGGTTACCCAGTGTGGTGTGTATCAGCAGGAAAAAGGTCAGTAGTTCTGAAAGAAGGCAACTGGGGGTGGTCTTGAGTCAGATGGGGGATGGGTTGGTTCAGAAAAGGCTTCTCCAAAGGGCTGCTCAAGAAAAGGATTCAGATAAAGAAGAGGGTATTGGAACAGAACAATGGCAAACCCTAATGCCCTAGAATGGGGAATGTGAACTCATCTAAGTGCGGAAGGAAAGGAACCAAGAAAGACTTGTGTGGAGGCCCAGGATGGAAGAGTGTCATTATGGAGTATCAAAGTCACCTGATCCAAGGCTTGAGGGTGATTGGTGAGTGTGGCTGAAGATGAGGCTGTCAGTCTGCAAGCAGGAGATTGTCTAATGGCCACCATGTTCATTGTGAAATATCGGGACTGGTGACGCAGTAATGACCGACGTTAGATGATAAAGGGAAATGGCTGGTGTGAGCAATGGAGGAGAGAGTGGTACTCATTTTGCCTGCCAGCCCTAATTCTCTCCCAAGTTCTCACAAAGCGATAATAGCTTTTGCATTTCCACTATTGAAACCCTGATTGATTTCCAAGGCAAAGGAGTCTTGGATTTCTCAGTGCTTATGTCTAAATCATCCTCAGTGATCTCAACTATCATTCATTTTTACTTCTTTCATAATTAAGCAATGTACTCAACAGGAAGCAACTAAATGCCAAATATGTGGATATTAATTGTCTCCTCAGGAAGCCCAATATCCACAGGAAACTGTTGACATGGTCTTTTCAAAGGCATTCTCCTTCTTAATAAACTGGCCACTTCCCATTCACTTTGTGTCTAGATATCTTAAACACTTTCTCCTTTTCACAAAGCAAATTCTGGGTTGTTTTTTTATTGCTTTAAGCACAATCACTTACCTACCCAACAAGCAGGCAGAATGAAAGCATTTCTTTAGGAGGTGACTATTGGCGGGAGCTAAGCTGGCACAGAGTCAAGTGCATGCTAATCTATGAAAGCTGAACATATCTCCCCAATCATAGTCATCCACATTCATGCACATGAACAAATAAACTGGCCTCCAAGGGCTTCTACATCTGATGGCCTTTTTTTCTAGATTCAACCCCAATGAAAGTACACTAGTCTCTTACCAGGGTTTGGAATAATGAATCCGGGAAGTATTCACCATTACAACAGATTGGATATGAAGCATCCAAAGGCAACTTTCTTTCAATTCAGCTAGTATGAAGGAATCCTGGTGATATCTCACTAGACAAGACAGACAAGTCTGCCACCAGGGAAAAGAACCCCACAAACTGTAAGTGAAGGGAGATGAGGGGGTTAGAGCCCACAAAATACCAGCCTGGCAGGTACACAACACACACACACACACACACACACACACAGAGTCAAACACATGTCCTAGCTGAGGTGTCAATTAATGAATCTGGTCATTAATTTTCCTCAGACTTAGTAAGAAAAAAAAAAATCTTACCCTAACTGCTACCAGTTTAAAAATTCTAGCAGCTCAGGTTGATTTACGAGAAGCAAACATTCTGGGCTTCCTCTAAAACTCAGGGCAAAGCGTGTGTGTGGCAGCTAACGACTGCAGGCAAGGGCAGATGAGGACCGAGTGAAAGGTGCCCACTACACCACAGTTTCCATGTTGCTGCTTACAATCTCACAACCAGAGCCAGCAAAAGGGAGGGGAGGGGAGAGTGTGGGCTTTTGCTAGAGGGAGGTTTAATACAGTTGACCTGGCAGTTTTTTACACACACACACACACACACACACACACACACACGCGCGCGCGCGTACACACACACTCCTTTCCTTAAAGACAGGGAAATAACAGGCCTGGAAGAAAATGCTAATCTGAGTGTTTTGCAATTTTTAAAAAGTTCAAGAATGGCTTCTCAGCCCAGCTCCAGTTTCCTTTTGACTTTGTGTAAATTGCACAAAACAGAACAAGAAAACAAGCATCAGAACGAAGCTCTGTTAGTACAGGGGCCGCTACAGGGTAACGCTGCTCTCCAAAGCCATGGTGCTCCTAGCTGTCACTTTTCATGCCGGCTGGCTGGCCTGTATTTCTATTAAACAAGTCCCTTTCAATTGACAGTTTCCCTCACACCACATAGCTAGGTACATGAGCCACATTGAAAGCCTACATTGCAAAACGCAGAAGTTTCCTTGCTCAGCACGAGCTGTGACTGACTTGTAAGTTAGCAGTCTCCCAAGAAGCTACTTGAAAAGAAAGGGGGATTTCACAACCTTGAACACTCCCACCCACATGATTTTCCCCAGCCATCCCTACTCCAATCCCCCAATTCACAAGTGGACTTTTGTATACATAAAGTTCCAGGAAACAAAGCACACAAACACTCGCACACAAATAAACTCCCAAGCTAACACCAGCTATAATAGTGTTTTGGTTGGAGCTTCTCCAGCCCTGTCACCAGCTCTGTTAGCAGTAAATGAAACTCTTGCTTTTCCAAAGACAGAAAGGGACAAACTCTCCTATTTCAAATGGTAAAAAGCCCCCCCCCCCTCACATTTTTCAATCCCCAGCAAAACTGCAGAAGAGCTAGCAAGGAGAAAAAAAAAATCAAAACCCGAACATATTCCCCAAATAAAGATCTTTCATTTCTCTCCTCACTCAGCTTCCCCTTTTAGCCGGAAATGCATGTCCATTCCAATTTCTGACACCCCTTTTCAAGGGACCCTGACTCGGACTCTTCCTGGGAATCCAGCTTTGGGCTGTCCCCAGGCAGGCAGGCAGACAGTCAGCCCATTCCAGGAGCATTTTGTATTCCTAACAGTCAAAGCCCGCTTTCTCCCTTCGAGAGAAATCTGAAAAGCAGCGTTGGTGGGCTGGCTTGGCTAAGTCGGATGCTGGATCCCTTGTCCCTTAACTGCCTGATTAGTGGGACAGGGCAGCGCACTGGACTCTGCAGCCAGGCTGAGGGGAGTCCAGCCAGGCTGAGGGGAGACAAAGTTCCCACTGCTCGCTAGTTGCTCCCATCAGCGCCTGCTCCCGCCTTCCTCCACATTCCTGCGCTGAAGTTGGCAGAGCCCAGCGCCCGGCGTACCTTCCTTGGGCTCCTCCGCCTCGGAGAGCATGCTGTCGGGGTGCACAGCCGCAGGCGCCACTGCCGCGGACATGGACGTGTGGCTGCGAGTCTCCGGGACGAGTGTGATGCGCGCAGGCCGGCGGGCGGACGCGGTGGGAGGAAGCCGCTGAGATCAGAACCTCCCGGGGCGGGCGGCTGGCTGCGGGAGGGATTTTCAGGGGAAAGTTCCGCAGGAGTGACGAATCGCGCGGGGCTGGGCCACAGCAGTCCGCCCCCGAGGGGCCGCCGCGGGTGGAGGAGACCCCGGCAGGTGGGGCCCCAGCGCAGGAAAGGTGCCTTGGAGAGGACGGAGGTGCGGGGCAGAAGTGCACTGGGGCAAGCTCGCACTTCCTTTGGGAGGGGGGTGGGGAGTGACATTTTTGACATTCCCTGTATTGAGTTTTTACTAGGTCGGATATATGAAAACCCTTTCAGGGCTCGCTCTTTCCTTCCTTCCTTCCTTTCTTTCTTTCTTTCTTTCTTTCTTTCTTTCTTTCTTTCTTTCTTTCTTTCTTTCTTTCTTCAGGCTATTGATACAGATGCTGCGAGAGCATTTGGAAGGGTCCCTTTCACAGGGCACAAACTTCACCAGTGCCAGCAGAAATGGCCTCTAAAGAAAGTAGGACAGGCTAGGCAGAAGCCCCTTATGCATGGCTGGCTCCCTCTAAACAAGCTGCTGGTCCCTAAAGGCCTCTCTGGCTTTGGGATATGCTGACAGACAGAAGATGAAAGGGCAAAGGGCAGGAGGGCCATCCTGCTCGTCCCTCCCCACCTGGCTCTTACCACCAAAGTCTAAGCTCTGGGTGGCTCCTGTTTGCCCTTCAGAGAGGTGGGCACGACTGCTTCCACCAGCTTACAGGTCTTGCAGAAGTATTTATTTCACCAAGCCTTGTTTTAGCACCAATCCTAGGGTGAGGGGCCTCAAGTGACATACCTTAAAGGAAACACCCGATGGGAAGGAATCCCCAGCTGGAGATTGTGAGGAGAGGTATATTTTTCCAGCTACCCTCCTTCTCCTTATCTTACTTTTATATGGGGAGAGAGAGGTCCATGCTCTATGCTAAATTTAATGAAAGGACTATGTAAACTGCCCAGGTTTTTCCAATCTGGGTTTAGATTTAGTTCTGCTATTTATTACTTATACGGCCTTAATCAAAATAATAATAATAATAATAACAACAACAACAATAAAAACAACCTCTTAAGCATCCAATTGCTCATCTATAAAACAAAGATAAAAGCAATATATAATTCACACATTTGTCTGGTATTACAGAAGGTATAAACAAAGTGATTTGATAGCTTAAGTATTACACATGCACTATCACTAACTACTGTACCTTATGAAGTAAGTTTTTGTAAAGACTACTCTTGCCTCTTATTTCAGCAATAAGTTTGAAAAGTATCGATTCTATTCATAGGCAAAAGGGTATTATAAATAATAATATAAGGACTGATACTAAATTAGCTCCTATAGATGGGTAATTCTAACATGCCTAAGACTCTTCCAGAATTTTATCACTCTTCTATTGAAGGGACGAGGTGAACCAAGACATATGAGCCAGAGGGGAGAAAGACACATGTGGAAAATATCAGTGCTGTGGAGCCTAAGGAGACTGAGCATGCCTGAAGAAGGATGACAGGCTTCGCCCTTCTGAAAATCATGGTTACCATGGTCTCCTTTGTCCCACATCCTAGTGCTGCTGAGATAACCCAGTCTGTGCTCCCTAATTTTAAGCTCATGATAGACACAGCTGAGATAAGGATGGGTATGTTTCCTAATCAAAAGAATCACTCCCTTGTCAGTCACATGTGGCCTTGCCTGTCGTTCTGAGGAATCATTTTGCCCCTCCCTACCCTACAGCATCTGGTCTTGCCTCTTCCCCCCGGCCAGATGTCCACAGATGCTGTTTGCTACACAAATGAGATAACTTCTGTGAATATATAGCTGGGGTGAAGCAGCACCTTTTCAAAGTGAGCTAATGATTATACAAATGAGGACAGCCCAGCTTCCACATCCATTTGCCCCAAGCAGAATGACTTTCTTCCTTCAGAAAGTGCCCCTTTATGTAATGTTTAAGTGTCCTTTCACAAACCCAAGTACATGCAAACCTCCTAAAGTCTGTTCCATAGAAGTCCTTGATACCTGACTTGTTTTTACATGGGTTCACAAAACGGCCTTCAGCACAGCCCAGGTTAGCCAAGGAGAACAAGTGCTGAACAGACAGTTTGAACAGCACCACAGCAGCCTGATAATCAACTTAAAATCCTGTTAACGGCCCTGCTGATCTTTGAACATTCACCACGATCCTCAGGAAACCTCCAGAGAAACATTTTTATTCAAATACAGTCCAGCAGTCACCTTGGGAAAGAATGTTCAAATAGAATTCAAGAGCAACGATGCCCAGCTTATTTTAAAAGACTGTATGCCATAAGCACTCTACACACAGTGCTAAAACCTCAGAGCCATCTGCCCTGGGCAAACTATTTTGCTTCATGCCTCCAACTTGCAAAATCATGGCAACAGATAGCAGGATCTCTGGGGCTCGCTTTGCCTCATGCTACTTCCAAGTGAATGCTTGGCAGTGTTGCTTTTGCTAGGATTTTACTCAAAAAGAGTTGGACTAACCACAGTGACTAATGCTCCAGTACATCATAGTGATCTGCCACTGTCTATCAGACCTAGTCACTTTTTGTCTTTTTGAGATGGGGTCCATGGATTGCAGGCTGGTTTGAAATTTATGATCAAGTATGACCTTGAACTTCTGATTCTCCTGCTTTCACCCATAATGTGCTGGGATTATGGGCTTCAACCATGTGTATCTAGTCTATTCAGGTCTGGAGAGCGAACCCAGTGCTTCATGGATCTTAGGCAAGCACTTTCTTTACCCACTGAGCTATATTCCCAGTTCCCTATTTACTCTCTTGTGTTTGAGAAGCAGCCAAGTGTTGTTACTTGAACAATAAGCTCAGAAGTCACATTAACCATCCATTATAGATCACCTAATATAAAATAGCAACTCAAATGGCAACATTTCTGATCTAGAAAAAGGCATACATAATCATTGTGTTGCATTCCCACACCTGTGCAATCATGGAGCTTTCTTATCTGTATCCACACTGCAAAGGGTCAACAGACACTACTCAGTATTTACCCAAGTCACATATAAGTGGGTCTTCCTTAGCTGGAGCTTCCTCTTATAATTTTGATAATTCTGGAGCACAGATTAAATTAATTCCTCACAAGGTACTTGGTTCTGTGAAAAAACTATTAATGCCAACCCAACTGAACTAAGTCTTAATAAGTCAACTGAATCTCATGCAACAGGACAATGCTCCGTTTAATGACACTTCAGTGAAGCTGTTTTTAAAAGAAAAGAGAAGGTGACTTTAGGCCTTTTGGCTTACAGAGACCCAAGCACCTCTGAAGAATAAGTAGCTCGGAGAATTCTCAGCTCAGAAGGCCAGAGACAGAAGTAGGAAGAGCTGGCATGGCTACCCAGGAGTGTTACACTGTCACATTCCCCAGCAGACTCAAGGCAGGTCTGGTTATCTGCAGTGGAAACCAGGTACCTCTGCCAACTACTTCTGCTCTGGCAACTGCTGGCTCATGAGCAGCTCTGATCATGCCAATGAATGTCTTTATTTTTATTTCTGCCCTGGTGTCAGGACCAGGGATCTGAACATATAAAATTATAGGTCACGAAAAAGGCTATTTACGGAGTATTCTAAATGGCCTTCTTCTGTTTGACCCTGAGGCTGTCTGTCCTCAACTTTTCTGTTACCTATCTTCAAAGACTCCTATGATCTGTGTACAAAACTAACCTTTTCACTGTCCTTAAGTGTGGAAAGGGGTCTTTGTCCTTGGTCCCATCTGGTTGGGGCTGAGGACTGTCCACCCTCAAGACACCGTTCACACTCAATTCTCCAAACCATGGGAAGGCCTCATGGGTGTCTTTCCACAGCCCTCCTTGCCCTGCATCCTCTGTCTCAGTGCAGAGAGGGGACTCATTTAACAATGGAGGCCATTTCTGTATCTTCTGAGGAGGTTAAGCTCATCTTCATGTGGTCCTATATGTTGATGAGAAGAGGGGTGAGATTGGGGAATCTGAGTGTCAAGTGAAACAGAAGTGCCCGGATCAAAAAAGGCAACTGAGAAAGAGTGTGGAGGTGGGAAGAGAAAGGGTTACTGTCGCCAGACTCGGGGAGTGTGCAGCTATGGGCAAATTCCATTCAGACTTTCAATGATGGTTCCAGAAAATCTTACATAATCATTAATATTCTGGGTGTGAGCAAATAGTTCTGGGGGAGTAGGAAGAGGCGCTGACACTGAGGTGTGCACTGGCAGGCAAAGAGCTATGCATCTGGTACACACTTGTTTCCTAGGATTCCATTGTTGGTTTCCATTTCTCTTTAAGAAAATCATCCTTGCTACAAAGCTTTGAGTAGGTGATCACAAAGCTTGTGTATTCACACTTGTGTGATCACACACACGATCACACACACACACACACACACACACACACGATCACACACACACACACACACACCCAGGTTAGAAAATATTGATGGATTTGTGAGTCCATGATCCTTTTCCTAGAATACTTACCAGTAATTCCTTTCGTAGGAAAGGGGTAGTATAAACCCAATAAATAGGTGTGGCTTCTCTGGATAAAGTGGCACCACTGTATTCTACAGTAGGCAATAATATGTATGACTTGGTAGCCTTTGCCATTACATTCTTCAAGGTGTTTTTAAGAAAATTTTCTCTCGGTTTTCCTCCCTATGCAGTGTGGGAGGGGCGAAGATGACAGGATCATATGGGGTGGTCTCTGAGGTACAGTGGATAGTGCAGGCTGGAAGGGAGTAAGAGTAAATTCACATGTCACGTGACTCGTACTTTACCATTTTGCTTGCAGTGTTTAAAAAGGAATGTTGTTCCCACGTTGACATTCTTCGTGGCAGATTTTGTTAGTTACGTCAAAACCCTTGACTATTGGTTGGTGAGAAAATTCAACTACACTCCCAGTTGAAGGGCTCCTTCCTCTTCCCATGCCCTCTTAAGTTTTCCCTGCCTTCCTATCTTGCTTCAGTTTACCTTTCTGGAATTTTGTTTAGTCTTAGGTGTTGATGATGGCTAAAGGCTCAATTTTTGAAACTTCATTGCTAAACATGAAGGGAGACTGTCTATCCAGGGATCAAATGTCTGGATCCACCTGAGAAGGCCTCGGCTTGGAGACCAGAGGATCTCCATTCAGCGAGAAACTAGCAGAGGGACACTCTTACTATAGGTTTATTTAGAGTTA